ACTCCATTACCAAGTGAACACAAAAGACGAGTTCCACAACAAACATTGGTTCTTTGTAAAGGCAACCAATTGTCTATGGAAAAGGGTCGTATTTGCCCCTCTACTATCAAAAAATAAGCTATATTTACCCTCCGTTATACCTTTTCAACAAATATCCTCCTATAGTCATAATATAGAGCTATGTTTCTCACCCGTGAAAACTTCACTTTCAGCTTTTAAAAGCCATGTGTTATTCTCTTATTGAACCAAATAATCAGCCTCACTTTTGCCCGCACCCAAATCACTCTCATTTCTCTCTATCCGGAAGGTGTACTTGAGCCTGCAAAATCAATAGTTGGTCCAAAGCTCCCTAATCTTTCTTCTCCCCAATTCCATCATCTCATTCTTATGCAACAAAACCAAGTCTTATTAGTTATAATTTACTTAATAAGTACAAGGTATAATTTAAAAAATTGTTCCTATTTATTAAATGCTTTTTGAGAATTGAGTAGTACTAAAAAGAACTACTTTAATGTTAAGGGTGTGGTGATAACAATTGTCAACTTTAATCTTGAATTCCTAAAGCGACAATTATTTTGAGCTAAAATGATAGCAGAAAATGATGAATAACTATATTTGTTGTGAGGCGGGTGATATCTATGTTGAACTTTGTATTTTTTTGTAAATTAAATAAAAAAGGTTATATTAAAAATAGAGAAATTAAATCTCATGTAATGTTCTGTTATATAATTACCATTTGGGCAGGATTTAAAATAGAATATAGTGGATTGCTTTACTTTTAATTCTGGATTTTGTCCAAAAAGCATGGTAGTTTTAACATTACTAGTTTTTTTCAAAAAGCATGCCATTTTCCCAGAAAGAAAATTAATTTCTGGTAACAATTTTTTCCATTTTCAATGTTCTATTATAAATCAATTTACATTTTAGAGTGAGGGGTAAATATAGCCTGGTGTTTAATAGTGAACTCTATAAAAATGAGGCTGATTTTTCTTTCAATAAGAGCATGCCATGTGACTGTCTAAAGCTGAAAATGAAGTTTTAACGGGTGGGGTAAATATAGCTAGTTTGAACGGGTGAAGGGTAAATATAACTAGTTTTAACAGGCAGGGGTAAAATTGTAGGGGTGTATATTCATTGAAAGTGTAGAATATAGGGCAAATATAGCTTATTTTTAATAGTAAAGGGGCAATTATCCTTTTCTGAATTAACTATTCCATCTGGAGCATCATTTATCATGCAGCTGTAATTAAAATGTTCTCTAGCTGAAACAATATAGCGAGCATTGAATATTAACAGGAGGTGGAAAGCTAATTCAACACTTTGCTCTTGCATATCAGCAACTGTTATAAGCCAAATAATTTTATATAAGTGGGAAAAAAATCTTGTATGCAAGCAATGCATAAAAAGCTAAAGAACCTACATTGAATATGCCTTTTCTAGAGTTCATTTTTTTTATCAATTAAAAAAAATAGTTCTCTAGAGAAGATACAAATCTCCCATACAAACAGGGACCTCATGGGTGCTTGAAAAATTAACGACGAACAATAGACCATTCCTTAAATGTGCATAATCTATCTCCTCAAAACCCTTTTTGTTCTTCTCTCCACAGGACCCACATGAAAGCAAAGGGGTAACATTCCGTGCATTATGCTGCCATGAGAATTATGGCATCATTTAATTTAACCCAAGCCAATTCAATACCACTCAAAATCTTGTTGATATACACCATTTTTCTCTTTTGTTTTCAATTTTTTGTCACCGTCCTTGCTGCCCATTAAAAATAGCACATTTCTGGGTACTTTGGGTAAGTGGAGAAAGTCCAACTCGTCCTTCAATATAAGCCTGTGATAGTATCACTTGACTGAGAACACTCCCTCTCTCTTCACTCTTTACCTCTATAAGTCCTTGCTAGCATGTGTTGTGTTCTATTAGAGTATATCAAGCAAACTTAAATTCAACAATCTTCCAGTCTTGTAAATTCTTTCCTGTCCCAGGAGGATAGCCTCGAATGCCATCTCTGCCTATTTGCCCCAGCCTTTTCATTTCCATAATGTACAACATAAGAGATAACAAGTTTCCTTGTTACAGATCCCTCAAGCTACCAAAAAATCTGCATGTGTTCGACTTACTAGGATCCAGTACTTGACCATGAGATGTAAACTTGATCCACTTCCTCAACTTATTCCAAATCCTATATTCGTTATGATAAAATGCAGCAACTTTTAATTCACATGGTTGTAACTTCCAGAGGGCCAATTTGCATAAGATTCCTCTCCCTTCTTTTCTTGTTGGGTCGGCAACTTTTTTTGCCACCAAAACCATGTCTAGAATCTCTCCTCCTTTCATGAACTCTTTCGGGGAGACGATGTCTTGTCTAACACCTTTGTAATTTATAAGGTCTTAGTCATTGATATTCACTAATCCCGCTGGAGGCAAAAGCACTAGGTGCCTGGTGGTATCTTCCCTCCACCTATGCTGATGGGAGGTAGAAGGTACCCCGTGAAATTAGTCGAGGTGCGTGCAGCTGGCCCTGATACCACAATTATAAAAAAGTACTTAATATTCAATTACTCATTGCCTAATCAGCGAAATCACAATAAAATATGTGTCAAAGGCTTGTCTCAAACTTCCTAATTTCTTGAAATGCAACTGTACTCCATCACCGCCCCTTGATCTGCTCCAGCATTGTTGAAAGAAAGTTAACATGAAATTGTCCAAACTAGGGGCCTTGTATACTACAAGTCTCCAGGGAAAAGAGATGCATGCCAAATAATTTTCAGACTCCTAGAAAGAGAAAGGGATGCACAAGAGAAAGAGTGGGTGTAGAGAAATGGTGGTTTTTGAAACTATTTGTTACATCATAAGCTAAAATCTTGAAGTATGATGTTAAGCACAGATTCTAATTTCCTCGAAGGATCATTAAGCCAAACAGTGTAAGAAGTGCAAGCAGTCGGGAAAATATTCCTCGTATAATATCTCCAAACAGTGTTAGGAGTGGAAGCTTAAATGTATTGCCAATTAGAAACACCCTGAAATGATGCTAAAAGAAGAAAGCTTATAGTATGTGTGACACTATTTATGGTATTCCATTTGCAGCACGGAAGGAAAACTGATCTTAGAAGATGGAGTCTCTGAAGTTGCTAAGAGCTTGTTAGCAGCCTACGACAGTGGTGAGCTCTGTGGTGCACTTGCAGAAGGCCAACCTGGATGGAGAAACTGGGTGAAGAAGTTCGGTAAATTGCTGAAGCGCAAGGTTCGATCTGAGTATTTTCTTTTTCGCTGAAAGTTTTTTTTTCAGTATTTATTGAGGTTGCTTTATGTACCAGGGAAAATCTCTCTTCATGCCCCTTCGGGTGTTGCTAACAGGAAAGCTTCATGGACCTGATATTGGGGCCACCACAGTATTACTCTATAAAGCTGGAACATCTGGTTCTGTAGCACCCCAAGCTGGGTTTGTTACATTTGATGAAAGATTTAAGATATTGAGAGAAGTTCAATGGGAGTCGTTCAGCTCAAATGTGCCTTTGTCTGCTGGTGTTGTAACGCATTGAGATTGTGGCGATATTCTGTTTTGATTATCCATTATATGACTTCTATCTCCACCATTCCCAGTAGAAACAAAGAGAAGCTGCGAGCACAAGGGGGGTTTTCTTGTGTTTGCATCTCGTCTGGAATCAAAGAGGGCTACCATCTCTAGCGGGATTCCTTTTCTGTATCTTCCCCCTCCCCCTCCCCCTCCCCCTCCCCCTCCCCCTCCACGGGGTAAGGCTGTGCTGATTGTGACACTACGTTTATTTTTCACCGAACAATGGTAGAATAGTTAAAAAGGGGATTGCAGCTCCAACCCGGGTTTCATTGCATAAACAATGGACTAACAAAGATATACCTAAACTTTTACTTTTTAGTTTGAGTCGTGTGTAATACACCCTTTTATTTGAAAAAAAAATATTGACACAATATGACATTCTACATAGAAAAATATTTCACCTTGATAAAATTAAATAATAAATTATTAACATTAGTTAAGAATTAAAGATTAATGTATAACTATTAATAAAATTTAAATTATTTTTCATACCCCCACTCAACTACCTCTTCCACGTAATCCTCCACCCCAAAAAAAGATGTTATTTTATTTTTTCAAAATAAATTTTTTATCCAGTCCCATTTAGCCGTCGCTCCAATTTTTATTTCCCTCCTTTTTCTTATTGTTAGATATATACGTACATATATTTTTTAGAATAATTTTTTTTTAATAGTTCACTGAATATAACATAAATAAATAAATAAATAAAATTAAAAAAAGTCTTGTGGCAATAAGGAAATTTTTTTTTATTGGTATGTATATATCCGGGCCCAAAAAGAGAAAAAAAATTAGAGGAGGAGGGTTAAATGAGGTGAGTAGAATTATATTATTTTAATAAAATAAAATCTAAATTAGTATTTCAATAGGGGGTGGAGGTGGAGTGAAATAAAAAAAAATTAAAATTCTTTTATAACAAAAATTTAAACAAAAAAAAAAAACTTTAAAATGGCTGGGGTGGGCGGAAGTGAAGGAGTGGGGTAAACACAATATTTTATAAAAGAAATATTATTTTTTTGAATAATAATTTTTAGTTTTTAATTTAATTAATATTAATAATTTATTTAATTTTTGTCAAGATTAAATATTTTGTTTATGTGAAGTGTGCTGTGATAATTTTTTAAAATAAAAGAGAGTGTATTATACATATCATGATGAGAGTGATATAAAAGAGAAATATGTATATCAAATTAAAAAATAATAATTTAGATATGAGACTCAATAATTTATATTATATATGAAACTAAAAAATTTGATATGTGTTTTTGAAACTTATTTCTATTCAATGAGAGAGAGATAGATTAATGGAAAACCTGGGATTTGAGTATTTTACTTTGAAAAATAGAAGTCATCCACAAAAGAAAATATTAATTAAAAGATTTGAAATGAATGTGGGATTTTAAAAAAAAGTTGAAGTTGTGATGCAGCAATATTGTAAATAAATAAAATAAATAAATAATGGTGTTTGATTTATTCTTTGTTTCACAAAGTTATTGAGACATGAAATAATGATGGTGGCATTGTCGACGACTAGTTGCAGTCCTAATTCGTGGTTGAATTCCATATCCTGTCGCTGTAACAACGATAAAGCTCCATTCTGGCAGTCTGGCCCTCGATTTGGTCGTCATCAATCACGAATACGTTTTTCAAGTTGCTGGCGTTGGGCTCGACCGTCTCTTCCTCCCGGACACGGACGCTCCTCTGCTGAAAAGTGCGACGATAGTGATAGTGGTATCCAGATGAATGCACAAGGCAACACGGCAATAATCTCCGCTTGCTTTGTTGGCCTCTTCACCGGTATCAGTGTCGTGCTTTTCAACGCCGCGGTGCGTCATAGGTTTTCTATTTTTTTTTTTTCGTCTTATCCTCCGAATATTCATATAATAACTGACATCTCCTTTGGTTAGGTTCATGAAATACGCGATTTATGTTGGGATGGGATTCCGTCTCGAGGTGCCTCGTGGTTAAGGGAGGAGCCTATTGGAGTAATTTGGCAACGTGTAATCTTAGTACCAGCTTCTGGGGGTTTGCTAGTCAGTTTTTTGAACACTTTCCGAGCCACACTGGACGTCTCAACGCAAGGAAATTGGACATCATCTGTTAAATCTGTCTTGAGACCAGTTTTGAAGACAATTGCTGCTTGTATCACTTTAGGAACTGGAAATTCCTTAGGACCAGAAGGCCCAAGTGTTGAAATTGGTACTTCAGTTGCCAAGGGAATTGGAGCTTTACTCGATAAAGGTGCTCATAGAAAGCTATCTCTCAAGGCTGCTGGATCAGCTGCTGGAATATCATCTGGTTTGTTCCCACATTATTCTTGGTTCTGATTTAAATATGGTACATTTTTCTTATACTTACGTGTAGCCTGTAAATACGAACATGTTTGCATCTCGCAAACCAAATAAACTGTACAAAGGATGAACCCCCTGAGCAAGCAGAAGCACTACAAAACCAACTATAAGTCAGCTTGCTTCTCGATTTCGAGGGGAGATGCAATATCGGCTATAATTTTTTTTAATAACAAAGGAAACCCGCAGCCGCTACCCTTTGGGTGCACACTGGGTAAAACCCGATTCCTATGCAATAATTAGAACATCAATTTCCAGTGCCTACATTCTGCTTAGTACTATGATATATTTCTGAAGGTTTGTTTAACCAGTTCCTTGCTCTATATGTTCAAACTGTTGGCTGTCAATAAGGTTGAGCCAGACAACTTCTTGGTTCCTGCAAGCTAATACTTTTTCCAGGCTTATTATATAGTAAAAGTAAAACTTTCCCCCCAAATCATTGACCTTGAGCTGGAAATGAAAATGAACTCAAAGTGTCATATTAGGCAACTGTCAATGCAAAATACTCAAACTGAAGTTTAGGTAAGGAAAGTGAATGTACATTGATTGATGTATTCTTCCTTAGGACCTAAACTTACCATTGAACTTTTCACATTGTATCAAAAGTTCAGCAAACAGAAAAAACTGACATGTCCTAAAATGTTATTTCATGTCTATATGCACAAGGTTCAATCTTACCATACGTGTGCTATTTGGTCTTTGTCTTTTAAATTCATCAGATATAATCAATCATGTTATAGGTTCTTATAATGTATATGATTATCTTTATCTCTACTGATAAATGACATTTACCCCAACCACATACTGTAGTTATGTTGCTTGAGGTCTCTTTCAGTTATGTATAGTAGAGTATTGAGATTGGATGATTTAATAGATGACTTTTGTCTCCCTTCAAGTTGAATTAACAAAAGCAATGCTTCTTGCTAGCTGTTGATAGCTACACAAGGAAAACTCCAATTTACTTTTATGTATAGCAATCTTAAGCTCGAGTAGCAAGTTGGAATGGAATTACATTTAAAAAAATTGGAATTATTTGGTTTGAGCCTTCTACTTGTTTTCCCCAATATTCTCAGTATCTAATTGAACGTGCGTAAAATAATTCTTGGGGAGCCTCAATACAAGGCATGTGCAATATAAAACAACAACAAAACCATTAAACCCAATGTGATCCCACAAGTGGGCTCTGGTATGGTGGGGTGTATGTAGACCTTACCCTATCTTTGTGGGTCGCTTTTTTCCGATAGATCCTCGACTCATGAAAAATATTTTAAAGAGTAGTTTCGAAAAGTACAAGAATGAAGAAGCTATGATGAAAATATTGAAGATAAGAAAAATATAGACAACAGAGATAGTAAAGATAATCGAAGTAAGAAACAACATTGGCACTACAATTAACGAATAAGTTAATGATGGAATAACAATAACAATACCAGTAAGGAGAAGAGAGAGCAAATAAGGTGCTTTAAACTAGGACTATGCCCCCCTCCCCAACCAAAAAGAGAAAAATCGCTCTACTGTCCTCTAACCTTCTATCCTAATCCTCAATTTTCATGCTCTCATATTTAGGGTCATGTATTCGGTGAGTTGAATGTATGTCTTGTCTAATCATCTTTCTCCAATTCTTCCTCGGTCTACCTCTACCTTTACCTCTCATTAGCCTGCCACTTACAACTTTTTTGCACCTCCTCACATGGGCATTTGCGCTCCTCTCCATATGCTTGAATCATCTCATCTTTAGTTTCACCTCCCCCATCTTGTACACCGCGGAGGCTAGTCACGCCTTGCCTTGTATATTCTTGTTTTTAATCTTGTCTTTCCTAGTATGCATGCACATGTCTTAGCAACCTCATTTTTGCTAGTTTCTTCTCCAGGACGTGTGAGTTCTCGATTGGTTCACAAGTGTACCTTGTACAACATAGTTGTTTTTACCACCATTCTATAAAATTTATCTTGAATGTTCTTATCACAAAGGACACTAAATATGAGTCTCCATTTCATCTATCCCGCTCCGATATACTGTGTAACATCATCACAAATCTCCCCATTCCTTTGGATTATTTTTTCTTGAAACTAGTAACTTTCCCATCCCTTTGGATTATTGATCCAAGATACTTGAAATTCCTTATCTTAGGGAGAACTTGTGTATCAATCATCATTTCCACATCAGATTTCTGTGATGCATCATTGAACTTGCACTCTGTATTTGTCTTGCTCAATTCGAAACCTTTAGACTCTCTAGAGTGTATCTCCGAATCTTCGGTCTATTGTTAACTCTTTCGCTCGTCAAACAATATCATGTCATTTGGAAATAACACACACCATGGTACCGCTCCTTAAATATGCCATGTCAAATCATCCATCACCTATGCTATAAACGGCTAAAAGTTGATCCCTAATGCAACCCATCTTAACTATGAAGTGTTTGAAGTCTCCTCCCATTGTTCTCACTTAGGTCTTGGCTCCATTGTACATGTCCTTTACTTCGCTAACGTATGCCACATGTATCCTCTAGACCCCAAGCATCTCCATAAAACCTCCCTTAAGACTTTGACGTATGCCTTTTCTAAGTCGATTAACATCGTATTCAAGTCTCTTTTCCTATCCCTCAATTGTTTCAACCATCTCCTTAAAAGAAAAATGATTCCGTAGTCGATGGCCTTAACATGAATCTGAATTGATTCTTAGATATAGACACATCCCTCCTTATCCTTATTTCTACCATCTCTCCCTAACTTCAGTAATGTGGCGTAGTAGTTTGAATTTTTTTTATTGTATAACAAGATCTTTACACTCCACCTCCATGCTTCAAGCATTTTAATCGTACCAAAAGTGGCATTAAACAACCCAGTTAGCTATCATATACCTACTTTGGTTGTACTCTTCAAAATTCCATCGAAATCTCATTTAGTTATGTCGCTTTCTCATGTCATCTTACTATTTGGTCTCTTAACCCCCCCAAACTTTATAACCTACAATATCCAAAATCTCGAAGGCTTTCGGAATGCTCTAAAGAACCCAACACAACATTCATGTCTCCTCTTTATTTAAGAGTTTATGGAAGTTTGCCAGTCATTTTCATTTTATGTGTTTTTCTTCTACCAATACTTTGCCATCCTTGTCTTTTAATGCATCTTAATTGGTCTAGGTCGCTAGTCCTCCTTTCTCGTGCCTTCTTTTCCCCACCTCTGTTCTCTAGTTCTTCATACAAGGGTTCTAATGTTGTCATTTTAGCCGCCGCGACCACTGTCCTTACTTCGTTCTTCATAGCCTTATACGTCTCCCTATTTGGCTTCTTCTTTTTCTCATTTTTTCTCTGTGGTAACTAGTAACTTCATGGAAGCAACCTTTTTTGTCTAAAGCTTTCCTTTGGACCTCTCTATTCCACCACCAGTCCTCCCTATGTCCACCAATATTACCCTTCGAGAGCCCTAACACCTCTTTAGCTGCTTCCCTAATACACTTAGTTGTCCTAATCCACATATGTTTTGTCCCCGTTACTCTCTTAGGCCCCGATACGGAGTGGTGGACCTAGAATTTTCAAAAAGTGGGTTCAAGATATAACATAAAACGAGAATGTAGCTGCAGGGATTCAAACTCGGGTTGGCTGGGAAAATTAAACCCTCTTGACCACTCGGCCAAGGGTCACACTTGTGTTAAGTGGGGTCAGAATTTAATAAATACATATATATTTTTTTAAAACTGATTAAATATGCATATATATACGATGCTATTTTTCAACGAAGTGGGTTCATATATATATATGAACCCATTTGACCCACTGTAGGTCTGCCCCTGCCGATTCCCATCAACTTCTTCCCCAACTCCTGAATTTAATTATAAGTCAAGCCCCCAGCTTAATCCTTGGTTGGTCAGACAACCCTCTTTTCCCTCTTTTAATCACTAGATCCATTACTGAGAGCTTGTGTTGTGTTGGGTTGTAAGGTTCTCACTTGGGATAGCCTTATAATCCTTGCTTAACCTTTATCACTCTTCGTAAGGAGTAGGTAATTGATTGGAGTCTTTGCCACCGAATTACAAAAGTGACCAAGTGCTCCTCATTCTGAAATCGCGAGTTAGCTATCACCAAATCAAAGACTCTTGCAATATAGAAAATGCATCTCCTCATTCATTTGACAACTGAGTAAAAAAAAACTAGGCATTTGCAGTCTGGAAGTCCATGAAGGGGCACATACTCTATAGAGATAGTCTTGTCATTATTTTCAGGGTTGGACTAGTGTTTAGAGGATTTCCCAGATTTTATTATTTCCAAAATTCTGCCAGGTCCTTTTTTTGTTGAAGTACTTGAAGTTAAATAAAATCAAACTTTAATTTGTTAAATATCTTCGGGAAGCCATTTACAAAATGTAAGTCTATGTTTGAATTATGGACTGTCACTTCATATGCAACTGCTTTTGGGTTCAGATGTTGCTGAAACTGACATAGATGGGCTTTGTATGGTTCCTGCAATTTAATTGCTAACATGGATCAGTTTGTATGGTTTATGTGGAATGGTAAATAGAGTCGAAGAGACAAGAAGGGGCTAGAAAGAATAGATGGTTCATATGTAAGTTGACTACTCTATTTGCTACGGGATATGATGTTCGTATTCCACTTCTTTGTAGTTTCCCCTTATTGTACAGGGTTCAAAGCATCAAGGGAAATTCACTTACTTTTGACTGAATAATGCTAGTTTCAGTAGTACCGTTTATTATATGAACCATTTAATTTCATTGACTAGATAGAATAGACTGCTCATCGACTAGTTGCTATGTAATGATAACTCCACCATCTTTGATAAGTCACCTAATGAACTTGTTCCTCAATTTATAGAACACTTTTTGAATATTTCTACGGTATGCTCCATGCCTTCATGGTTATATCACTTCTACTTTGCACTGTGAGAACTTGAACTTGGTGAGCGGGGATTCCGTATGAATGAGATCTTGATGGAAGACGACCATTTCTGTCACTGTATTAGATAATGCTTCTTGTATTGCCATTAAGATATTATCCTTTAATAAACATTTGCCATTTTTCTGGAACAATACAGGGATGTATCTAGCTGGTGATTTCACATCAATAGTCCAAATTAAATGAAATGGTTTGCAATTGTTGATTCCTAAAGGATGATTTGTGGAATATGATCTCAAACGATTTGTTACAAGGAAGATAAATACCAAATGTCTTCTGTGTTTAATGGAAGACAAAAAATCCTTTAACAGGCAATGATTTTATGAACTTAATTCAGAATATTTGTGGCCATTGCTGAGAAAGATAAAAAAGAATGGAAATTGATTGAGTTTAGTATCAAAAAAAAAAAAGGAACAGAATGTCATCCAATGCAGTTTCATCTTAGGAAACTTTGCAGGGAAAGAGCAAGAGTGATAATAATTGTGAACTATTTCGTTTTTCTGTATCAGTTATTGTGACCTATTTCTTTGTCATTCTTCATTGCTAACAAGCTAATGTAGCTCCTCTTCTATAGTTGTTTTGATTTGTCGGTGGATGTTCAATGAACATTTTCTTCTTTCTATCTGCTGTCAGCATCTTCTGCCTTGTAGGAGTTCATTTTCTGGAAATATTTTACTTCTTGTTTTGCTAATAATTTCCTGTAATTTTCTCTTCATGATTAATCTGTTTGTCACTTTGAAACTCTTCTTGTTTTCTACTTAAAGGATTTAATGCTGCTGTTGCGGGTTGTTTCTTTGCTGTGGAATCTGTGTTATGGCCATCACCTGCAGAGTCTTTGTCCTTGACAAATACAACTTCAATGGTTATTTTGAGTGCTGTTATAGCTTCTGTTGTCTCAGAAATTGGTCTTGGCTCAGAACCTGCATTTGCAGTCCCGGCATATGATTTTCGTACACCTACGGGTAATTTTGAACTTGTTCCCTCAAGTTTGCATCTTAAATATATTTGAATAACTTACAGCAACATCAACCAGTGTTGGTAAAAGTCATATTCGCTGCATAAGGGAGATGCAAAGAGTGGGGTGATCACTTCATAAGTGAAACCATGTGCTTCAAAGAAATCTGTGCTTCAAACAATGACGCACACACACTGATCCAAACAAGAAGCGGTCGAAATTTTTTAAATGTAAACTTTGAGGACTTGGACTCATGTCTGCATTATTGTATATTATATGCTGGAATTAGTTTTCCCAATTGCAATTTGATTCCTATAGTTCAAAATTCATATATGTTTGACATCTATGTGTTCACTTCGAAGAAGTATGTGCTTACTTCTTGTTTTATGCCTCACGGACCTTGTCATTTTTTGCGCCTTATTTTCTCTTAAAAACACTGACAACAAATGCATCTCAATAACAATCTAGTTATGATTGGCTATACAAATCATCACTATTCATTTTACTCCATTTAGTGGTAGCCCTATTTAATTCGAATATTAATACTTGGTAGTATGCCGAGGTTCTCTGCATTTTCTACTTAGATATAAAGAACATACATAGTGTAATTCTACATTTGGTGTTTGGGAAGAGTGGTGTTTATGTAGCCTTACTCCTACCTTGTGAAGGTAGAGAAGTTATTTTCAATGGACATACGAATCTTTAAATAGACTAAAGCATAATGTAAATGTACCTTCATGAGTAAACCTTTGTCCAGATAGTCAGGTTTGTTTGTAAGGAGCTTTACCTTTTAGTTTTCTATTTTTCCGTTAAGTTCTATTGATTCCAAGAATCTACAGGATAAATTCATTTAACGCCTTAATGCAATTTGACCTTTATACATACCTATAACTTCCATTGCTTTCTGAATGCAATTTTACTTTTCTATAAAAGTAGAATCATGCAATGCTTCAAGAACTGCATTTCCATAAGTTTGGTAGCCTGAGATGAATGGCTATGGTACATCTATTTAATAGAATACACGCCCTCTTATTGCTATCATTTTTATCCTATTATTTCAAGAAAATATTAAAGGAAATGATGGAAATTGGAAAAAATAAAGAATAGTTTCCTTAGAGTCCAAAAAGGAGGGGATTGCACTACTATCTTGGAATTCAACAATAGTATCCATCAAATTAGTTTTGACTGTGGAGAAATGGAGAAAAGAATCAATTATTGCATCTCTTCGGTGAGATACTCAATTTTGGTGAATAGAAATCCATGTGGTTTCTTTGGTTGTTTGAGGGGATCGAGGCAGGGAGATCCTTTATCACCTATGCTCTTTATTTTGGTGACAGAGGCTTTGAGCAGAATAATGGATAAAATTGGTTTAGGCAGACATATCTAGGGTTTCAAGGCCACAGTTGGTGGTGACAATTCTGTATTGGATGCACATTTTTTATTTACAAAAGATACTTTGGTGTTATGTGATGCAGATGGGATCTAGTTGAACTACATTGGACAAGTTTTGACTTGATTCTAGGTGGTATTAGGACTAAAAATCAACCTCAGAATAGTGTGAGATCGTATTGATTTGGGGAAATTGGTAACATTGATTTGTTGGCTCAAGTGTTGCATTGTTGGTGAAGATACCTATTACCTATCTTGGGCTTCCTCAGGCGCATCAAGTCACAACGTCTGAAATCTGGTCATCCAGATGGTAGAGAAATGGCTGGCAGACTGACAAAAAAGGTACTTGTCCAAAAGAGGGGGAAGGAAATGCTGATGAATTACACTTTGTTCAGTATCCCCTACTTATTTATGTCCTTGTTAAATGCTCTTACCAGTGTGATAGGTAAGATAGAAGGTTGGAAAGAATTTCCTTTGGGGTGCGATGGCTAGGGAAAAGATGTGTCAGTTTTCACTTAGTGCAGTGGGAGATTGTGACGTATCCTAAACGGTGGGGACGACTTGAAGGTCTTCCACTAAGCAATTTCGGGCAAATGGTTATGGAGATTCATGGTCTTGGAGAAGCATTATGAAGAGGGGTAGTAGCGGGTAAATATGGTGTTATGGAAGGGGGATGTAGAACATACGTGATTAGTATGTGTTTCCTCTATGGCCACCCAACCTTCACATAAGTTTCCAATTTCTTGAAATACTCTCTTTGACCAGAGATGGGGGGGATTCTGTAATATCTCGCAAATTGAAATAACTAGTAAGGAGTTAATAATTGGAAATAGTCGTTTTTGGAAAGAGTGAAAATTTGGAAATTTTGTTAAGTTAGAATAAGTTGAGTTTTTGGTCAACTTTAAACGACCATAACTCCTAGCTTAGGATGAGTTAGGCGTGTTTCCAGATATTGTAGGAAAGATCTTGGAATAATCTTTCCAACGTTTTCGAGTTTGCGTGATTTCTGAGTTTGTATGAGTGAGTTATGCCTATTGAAAGTTGGGTTGTTCAAATAAGGAGAGTCTAATTTGGATTTTGGAAGGGTATTATGATCTTTTCCATACCCTATTATTTTGTTTTGATTTTTTTGGAGTTAATTAGAGTCAAATCAGAATTAGATCAATTTAGTCAATTGGAAATTTCACTCTAGGGCTTGGAGAAAAGAGAAAAAGGAGAAAGGAGAAGAAAAGCTCAAGATTCGCCAAGATTGTGTGATTGGATTGTGGATTTCGCCAAGGAATTAATCCTACAAGGTATGTGGGACTTTCATAGCATTGGGTTCGTTCACCCACGCGCTAAACTGTTTAGTTTAGGGAAATTCATTCTAAAAAGGTTGAAGGTTTGACGTTCTTGACATGTATTCTTGAATTTGATGTCATTCTTTAATTGGGCTGAATTGAGAATTTTCAGAGATCTTTATGTCGAGTTTTAGAGTTGTTTTGAGTTAGGCTCTTGGGTACGTTGGCTGGGCATCATGTTTAGGCGAATTGGGACTGAAAACGAAGAAGGAAAAAGTCAGGTGAATTTGGGCAGTGGGGCCGCGTCGCGGACCTGCTTCTCAGATTTGAGAAAAAGTTATTTGCGAAGCGGAGCGGTCACAGACCGTTCGACCTCAAAAGTTTTCAAAAGTCTTTCACAAATGGTTTTAGCTTTGTTTTGAGACTTAAGTTTGAGTTCACTAAAGAGTAAGTGTAAGAATTCATTTCTTCAAAATGGGTTCTTCAAAGTTATAAGGGAACTAAGTATTCCCAAAGAGTTATAATGTTTTCATCATTTGAGCAAGAAAGGGAAACACCGATTTCGAAGAGAGCTTTTAAGCTAAGTTTTGAGTAATTATCTCAAACCAAAGAAAGAGTAAAGAGTTTTGTTTTAAAAATGTATGAGCTAAGTACATTTTGGGAGTAGCATTGAGCTGCGATATAGGGATGCAAGTTCAGATAACTCAAGTCTCCATAAATCATGTAGCCATCATGGGTAGTATATTACTTTATTATACTATTATATAGGTAAAGTTGAGTTTGTTATTGCATTTTTTTAACGAACTAAGTTAGTTGTGTCCACTATTTTTACAAGCTTTCTATATATTGCATATGTTTTATTGTTTTATATTGAGTTAAGTTATTTAGGATTTGAGTAAAGCTAAGGTAAGTGTTCCTTTCAGATTTTTTTCAAGCATATGTTATGTTTAGCATTTCAACTCGCATACTCGTACATTTAATGTACTGATTGATATCAGTTGGCCTGCATCGTCTTATGATGCATACATAGGTAACTTGAATCAGCACCTAGCGCCTCGTTGATCTAGTTGAGCACTCTGTCAGTTGTGAGCCTCCTTGTATTCCGGAGGGCCCCTTTTATTTTGCTTTCAGTATTTCATTGATCGGGGGTCGTGTCCCTACATTCCTCTTTATTTTAAAGGCTCGCGTTTAGTAGTTTAGTTGTCTTTACAATTGGGCCAAGTTGAATGTCGACTTTTAAACATTCTAAGATATTTTATTAAGCAGCTGAGTAAAGTGCATTTGGTCATTGTAATAATGCTTAGAGTCCTCTGCTGATTAAGTAAGCCAGACCAAGGGTTCGCTTGGGGCCAACAATGGTTCTCGAGTGCCTGCCACGTCCAAGGTGTAGGCTCGAGGGGTGACATAGTCCAACAGTTCTAATCCATGTGTCCTTGTTCAGAGTATTATTGGGGAGACAACCCACCATTGAATTCCACCATTCTAGATTGAATCCGTGATTCTTCCAGTTCCACTGCCCTTGGAGGGTCTGTTCTGCCATGTTTATGTTAGGAACTCGAACAGAAACGTACCTCCATGCATTTCATTGATGTTAACTCCAAATGCCTTTTTCCGAAGTGTTGACGACCATCTTCATATCTCAAGCAAAGTTGGCTTTTCCTTCATCTGTCCTTCCAAATGACCTACTAGGCATCTCTCTGGAAGCCCATTCTCTTGGTCTTCAACCTGTGTGTGAGGACTTAAATAATGCTAACATTGTTCGTAATCTCTGCCTCCTTTATAGTTTCTGATTGCCATTTACTATCCTTAACTGCTTTTGCATAAGGGTAGTTGGCTTTGGTTATTCTAGGAGGTCCTGGCACTTCCATTCTTTCAGAGCATTTGATGAACCTTTCAATTTTAAATGCTATATCATGCCATCCCGCATTCAACGCTAATTCTGGGATGACCAGTATGGACCTACCCCCATTATTGATGGAAATGATACTTATATCTTCCATGTTCATTATGTTTCCTAGTACACAAATGCTCCAGCTATCTTTCTGCAGTTTTCTATCTTCTGATCGCTGGAAGCTTCTCTAAGAGTGAAGCAGATCCATTCCATGGTTTTGCGGCTCATGGAAGATCTCCTCATCATCATTGATCTTTCTACTCCTCTCAACCCATTCGAAGCACACAGAGCTGCCAGTGCTCCATTTAGTGATGTAGAAAGACTTAAAACCCACATTGAAATAAATCCTATTGTCAGCCATTGCAAAGTCTGAAAGAAGGATCTGAATCTCGAAAAACTTTTGTCACGTATAGGTAATAGTTAAGAAAGGTAAGGAAAGGGAAGGAATGGAAATAAAGGTTCGGCGCAAGAGTGCCGGAAAGAGAGACCCTCCCCCAGGAAGTAGGGAAGAGAGTTACCTCGGGACAGGTGCCTGGGAGCATTTGTTATTACGTTCCTTAATTTATCATATAGGTAGAACTCGTTAATAAATGTTACATATTTGCATTTTTGGCTCTTTGATATGAATGTTGTATATATTCGAGAATTTGTGGACTAAAAATGACCTAAAAGAAGATAGAAATGAAAACATGCTTTTTTTTTCCCTCTCACGTGAAAATCTTGATAACCCTTGTGATAGAATTTGTCTATCCAATCTAATACTTTTAAGGCAATGGGTGGATTAGCCATGTCCATTTGAACTCCACTGGAGACCTTACACAACTGATGACGAAAGTCCAGCATTATCCAACACCCTTCGACTCATGTTACCCAGTTCTAGGGTTTACAGGTGGATTTGATTTATCTTTTTTTTTTTTGTGTCGTTTTGTTTAAAGTAGAGAAAGAGGAGGCTCAACAAAATTGGGTCTGATGTAAAGGGAGATAGATTAGGCTCAATAGGCTACTGATTGAACTTATATGCTACAACAATGTTAGTGGCTCAATAGGCTTGATTGAGAGAGAGACAAGCCTAGAGTAGTTCCACAAGTTTATTTGATAAAGAGAAGCCTAGAGCGATAAAACGTGAGGAGAGAAAGTAGTTGCACTAACGATTTAACCAAAGGTTGGCTCTGGTACCATGTAAACCAATTTAAGTATCTAACCCAAAACCTTAAAGCAAAGGATGGAGTAGCCCAAGACCATTTAAACTACTTTGGAAACCCTTACAAACCAATACGGTAACTTTCTATAACAAGCCTATCTTCTTATAAGTCGGTGCTTATAACTTGACTATGGCTTGTTCCACTAATTTAGCTTAAATCAAAGTGAAATGATCTATGAAGAAATCCATAGGAAGCCTCTGCTGAAGTAAATAACTGACAATATATAAGGAACATTAATTCTCCCAAATATCTGGAATGTTCCCGAAACACAATAAATTAGTCTCAGGACTTATCATTAACATGTTTCTGTCTTATTTTGGGTGATATGGAAGGTTAATCAAGGTATAATTTTTTTCAAGTGGTTAAAACTTCAGCTGAACATATAACTCTTTCTAAGTACTTATTCAGAATTATTTATCTAATGAAGTATCAGATCACTGGTGAACAAAACAGGAAAATATATTTTTTACAGCATAACCATACCTTACTAGAGGGAGACGAGCATTTTTTTCCTTTTATTATTGTCCCTGGGGGTCTGCAGGCTTCTTCCCTGTGATATCACCTTAGACTCACATTTCTGTCATTGGTATTACTTACTGTGGTAAGTTCAAATGTGTTTTGAACTCTTTTTTGGCACGTACAATTGTGTTAATTGTTCGTCTCCGTTTCAGAATTGCCGCTTTATCTTCTGCTGGGTATCTTTTGCGGGTTAGTTTCAGTGGCACTATCAAGCTGTACATCATTTATGCTGCAAATAGTGGAAGATATCCAAACAGCCATCGGCGCGCCAAAATCAGCTTTCCCTGTGCTGGGTGGTCTTCTGGTTGGGCTGGTAGCTTTAGCATATCCTGAAGTCCTTTACTGGGGTTTTGAGAATGTTGATATTTTGCTAGAATCTCGGCCGCTAGTGAAAGGCCTCTCTGCTGATCTGTTGCTCCAGCTTGTAGCTGTCAAAATAGTAACAACCTCATTATGCCGAGCCTCTGGATTGGTTGGAGGCTACTATGCTCCATCTCTATTTATTGGTGCTGCTACTGGAACTGCATATGGGAAAATTGTTAGCTACATTATCTCTCATGCTGATCCAATCTTTCATCTCTCCATCTTGGAAGTTGCATCCCCACAAGCATATGGTCTGGTATGAATTTGCCTTTATTTCGAAGTAGTACTACATGTCTGGATAAGTGAGTGTTTATTATTGAAAAGTAATTAGAGAAGTGCAAGGGAATCTAGCACGCAATTCTACTTATTTCCCTCGTCCATCTTTTCTTCTGAAATTCGAGGTCACTTTTCTCTACCTTGCATCACCATCTCAAACATATTTCATACCTCTCAGAGTTATTGGAGATGTCCTGAATTTACCTTGCCGGAAGTTTATATTTCACCGATCACCCCCCACCTCGCGCGCCTGCATTCCTTACCATTACATCCACAATTACACCCCCATTTTTTCATACCCACCTAGAAGATGGCAGTTTAACTCAGGTGTTTCATTCCCCTTACATTCCATGATATGATCTTGCTATAGATTCATGATTCAAGAGGATGCTTTAACTGTAGATGACCATGTGAGCCTTTTGATATGACTTAATCCAAAGTTAATGTTCAAAAATTATTTGAACGACAACATTGCATAAAATTCCTAGAAAACATCCATTTGAAAATGGGTTCATCTCCAATCAAGAAAGCATCTAAAATCTATCGCCCTTGAATTAATACATCAAATCTGAATTAGAGCACCCCGGGGAAAAAAAATTCTAATGTTACCAACTAGAGTAATTAATTTGAACTGCCTTCTTATCAGAATAATGTGTGAAGAGTTTAAGTTCTACCAAAGGTGGCAGCAGGGGTGTAAAATTACATTGTATATATAGGTCGAAATTTGGTTTAATAAATATATATACAAGTGTTGGCACCTTTTGATACATGTTGAAGGTTTAGTGTAGTGGTTAAGGGGTTGCAAATATTGCTTGAGGTTGTGTATTCTGTCCCTGATAGCAGCCGCTTGTACATTTTACTTTATATTTCAAAAATCCTTGATAAAAATTCTGGCTCCACCACTGGGTGGCAGAACCTCAAGTCACTTCACCATGATATCTCTTTCAAATAGTACTCTAGCATCCATAGAAGAATTCCGCCGTAAAGCCATCTGAACCCAGTGGTTTATCATTTATTTCCACAAGATTTAAGTACATAGGAACTAGATGGTTTAAAGTTGTTGTGGATTGAGGTTATGTTATCTTTCTCCTCTCTTGGGTTAATCAAACTAGGAAATTCTGGACTCTATCACTTATAAATACACATGAGTAATCTTTGTCAATAAATAAATAAATATGAGTAATAATAGCTAGGAATCATCTGTATAGGACAGCCGTAGAGGTCAGCTTGTTTAGAAAAGTTTTAGTATGCGTTTGAGGTGAGCTTAATATGATATGCTACCTACATGGGCATGCTCAACACCCATCAACGTTCTTATGTAATGTTATTCTTTTTCATGTTCTGGTTGGATGATCATTTACATACTCATGCCAATCTTATCCTACTATTACACCTCAGATTTTTCAGTTTATGATGGAAATTTTGAGTAAATGAGCAAGGGTGGAGCTAAGTTGGGGCAAGGATGGTCAATCGACTACCCTTTGTTAGGAAATTACATTCTATATATAGGTCAAATATTGCGTTTTGAACACCCTTGACTCAACAAAGAGATGTAGGTTAGCGGACAATGTTGTTTAGAAAATCGTAAGATGCCAGGTTCGATTCCCCATAGTTGCATTTTGTTATATAATTTTGTGCTCCCTACTTTTTCTTTATAACTGGCCTAAGCCTAACTATTTTTCTAAAACAAATAGGGAAAAAAAGGCCATGTTTTAATTATTTTTTAAATAAAGCGTCATGTTAAATTAAACATTGTTATAAAGAGTCATGTCATGTAATTATTTTTTAAATAAAGAGTCATGTTATCGAAGATGACATCACACATCGTATTGGTGTGGCGTGTATGAAGTGGAGGCTAGCATCTAGAGTCTTGTGTGATAAAAAGGTACCATCGAAGCTCAGGAGAGTTTTATAGAGTGATGATTAGACCAACTTCGTTGTATGGCGCGAAGTGTTGGCCAATCAAAAACTCCTATATCCAGAAGATACATGTTCTGGAGATCGGGATATTAAGGTGGATGTGTGCCCAAACTAAAAGCAAGAAGATTAAGAATGAGTATATTCAGGATAAGGTGGGAGTGACCTCGATGATGGATAAGTTGAGGGAATCGTAACTGAGATGGTTTGGACATGGTAAGAGGAGATGCATAGACGTACCAGTGAGGAGGTGTGAGAGTTGGTTTAGAGGGTACGAGGAGGGGGACAGCTAGGTCGAAGAAGTATTGGCGAGAGGTGGTAATACAAGATATGATGCAGCTTCAGGTTACCGAGGACGTGACCTTAGATAGGAAGGAGTGTAGGGTTGTCTTGCTTAGGATAGTTGGTGTTTGCCATTCTAATAGTTGTTTTATTATAGTTCTTGTTTTTTCCATATAATATTGCTTATTCTTGTTTTCTGTAATCTTTCCTAGTATGTTGTTTATTAATTATCGCACTATTTTGTTGTTGTCTTTGCTCCCTTGTGGTAGACTTTGCACCATTTTCTTGTTGCTTACTATCTTTCTTCACTGTCGCCTTTTTATTCATTTGAGCCGAGGATCTTTCAGAAACAGTCTCTCTACCTCCACCGGAAATGAGCCTATCTTCAAGTTATGGTTTAGCAATAGTGGACCTTCCAGTAACAAAGAACATTGGTTAAAGATTAGCGGCTAAAGAAATGTTTTGGAAAATCTGAGAAGAATTTGTCTAGATGGAAGACGGGTATTTGTCTCTGGTAGGCAGTCTCTCCTTTATTAATGCAGTTCTTGATGCTCTTCCAACATACATGTTATCTCTATTCCCCATTCCCTCTCGTGTAGTCCAGAGATGGGACAAACTCAGAAGGTCCTTCTTTTGGCAAGGTTTTCATTTTGTCAAATCGAAAATCTGATAACTAGTAAAAACAATGTGGTCTTGGCATCAAAAAATTGAAGAATCAAAGTAGGGCCTTAAAACTGAAGTGCTTGTGGTGGTATGCTCAGGAATCAGTCATAATGGGAAAAGGTAATCAAATTGAAGTACGGGAAGATGGATTTTTGGGCTACCAAGGATGGTGCACACCCCCTATGGAGTAACTGTTTAGAGATCTATTATGTGAGAAATATTGAAGGAGAATGTTATTAGATTGTTGTTTTAATTATTACATACAGAACCCTATTTGTTTATAGACACTATATTACAATTCCTTACCAAATAGGAGACTATAAACTATTCCTATTCTGTGTAGGATTGTGTACGCCTATTCTATTCTAACAAGAACATGGTGGCCTTTTTTAAAGAGCCAATCTGTCATCAGAGTTTATAGTGGTAACTAAACAAGTGAGGATAAATGGTTAGTTAGAAGTCTGGAAGAGATATTCCCTGACATGTTTGTTATAGCTCAACATCAAAACAAAATTGTGGTTGAAATGTGGTCATTGAGAGTTGATGTTCAAGAAAATGTTGAATGACTGCAAATTCCTAGACTAGTTGATCTCTATAAACTTCTTGAATCATTCCAAGTGCTGAAGGATGCGATGGACTGCTTGTGGTGGACTGGGCATAATAAGGGCACTACAAAGTGACCTCAGGATATAAGATCATGAACATGACTGGGCCACGGTCCACAGAACTCTAACTGGCCATGGAAACAAATCTGGAAAGCTAAGATACCTCATAAGGTGGCTTGCTTTACATGGTTTGCTAGCAAAGCAGGTTGTGGTGACACATGAAAAGTTGAGAAAGAGAGAAATTATAATGGTTACACTCTTGTGTGGGGATGCAGCTGAGACAGTTGAACATCTATTTTTACATTGCAGAATCACTGACCAACTATGGAAGATTTTTATCTATCTTAGAGGCATATATTGGACAATGCCTAGCAAGATTATTGACACTCTTTCAAGCTGGGAAGAGGATGGGATTGGGGCAAGAAATAGAAGTGACTGGAGGATCATCCCAGCTTGCATATGGTGGACTCTTTGGAAAGGAATTCCAGATGTTTTGAGGATAGAAGTAGTAGCTTACATGAAGTTATCATTTTCCAAAAAAAAGAAGTAGCTTAAACAAGATCAAATCAGACTATATTTTGCTATTTGATTTTTGGTGTACAAAGAACTTCAAGCTTCCATGTAGATGCAGAATCAATCCTAGAAGTTTTAGACTCTTGTTAGGATTGTTTTTTTTTTTTTTAGCCTTTTAGTGTTCATGCTTTCTTTTGTCAAGGAGGATTTTAGTACTACCCAAGTACTGGTCTATTATACAAAGTTGTTACCTATTCAGAAAAAGAACTTGAGATTGCTAAAGGAACCACATTAACTCTTGGATTCGCCTCTATCTATACTTCAAATTTAGGAGCATAAAAACTTAAGCACCTTCCTACCTAAAGAGGTGCATGGGCACATAAGAGATAATAGACTTTACCTGTCTTATTTGCCATATCTTAGGTATTTACAGTTGTATCCCGATAATGATCTGTTTTGTGGATCTAGGCTGAATCGAGATTCAGTCACTTTTGGTTGAAAGGTGCTGCTAGAGTTCCTTAGTTTACATCATTCTGGTTCTTATTCCATAAGTTCTTCCCCTCTCAACCACTTTCTTCTTTCTTCTTAGGTTATTTGCCTCTAGCCCTCATATAAATTTCTCAGAATATCACTTACCTTGAGTTGGTCAAAGCATTACCAAACCATGGGCACATTAGTCTTTGCGCGAAATTTCATGGATGTTACTTACCTTTATCCTCTTGTGCTTATGTAGCGTCTGTCTTGGTTAATCTTTCCTAATGTCGATGTGTATTTCTTTGTTTCAACATGAATTGTATCATTAATATTACTGTTTGACCTCAATTTTGGGTTCTTTTTAATTTTGGAAGACATTAAATCACAGGTTGGCATGGCTGCTACTCTTGCTGGTGTCTGTCAGGTGCCTCTCACTGCGGTTCTGCTTCTCTTTGAACTGACACAGGATTATCGAATAGTTCTGCCCCTCTTGGGAGCTGTGGGGATGTCATCATGGGTTACATCTGGACAAACAAGCAAAGGGGTGGTACAGGATAGGAAGAAATTAAAAGGTTCAAGAGCCCAGATGACGCAGTGGCAAGGAACTTCTTCCTCCAACATTGAACTTCCTAGCTTAACTTATTCTTCAGGTGTGGAACCTTCACAAAAAGAGAGTAACCTCTGCAAACTTGAGAGTTCACTCTGTCTTTATGAATCTGATGATGAAGAAAATGATTTCGCTAGGAAAGTTCTAGTTGCACAGGCAATGAGAACGCGATATGTGACAGTCCTAATGAGCACCTTGCTAATGGAAACCATATCTCTCATGCTAGCTGAGAAGCAATCTTGTGCTATAATAGTTGATGAAAATAATTTTCTCATTGGTTTGCTGACACTTAGTGATATCCAGAATTACAGCAAATGGCCAAGAGCGGAAGGAAAATGCCAGGAGGTAGCTTCTTAGCACATATAAAACAGGGTTGGCTTTTGTTGGCTTTTTAGGATTTATATATATATATATATATATATATATATATTGCTTTAAGTTGTGTAGGTTGTTTTCTGATGTGAGTTTTCACTTGGCAGAATCATAAGATAAAATGGAAGGTAATATAGTCAAATGTTATATGAAGGAATAAGTGACATTTAAAATCAATTTGGGAGTTTTGGAGTCAATAGTTACTTACGGAATCTTATAGGATGGTGTTATCACTCTTTCGTTATTCAATAGTTATTGCAGTAATTTCTCTCTAGTAGCAGTTATTTTCCTGTAAAAAATGCAGTTATTTTTCTGTAATAGTGCAGTCTTTCTTTCTAGTTAAGTTAGGAAGTCATGTCCTAGTTTCTAGGGGTTGTTATTTTATAAGTATTGTATTTAAACTATCTGGTGACTAAGAAAATATAAGCAGAAAATTATTCAAGCCTTTGAGTGCTTCAAACTCATGAGATCGCAGGTTCTCTCTTAACGAACCAGCACCATAGATCGTAGGAAGAAAACATCAGATTTAATATTACAGTGTCCCATAACCAGATCCATAACTGGGGACCATAACAACTTGGTATCAGAGACGAATGTAATGGAAGATCTAATTCAACATCAACTGGCACAATTGGTGAACTTATTTCAAGGATAACGTGCAGCCAATATAGTGAGACAGGAAGCAATAAATGCTGCTTAGATGCACTCACAGAGGATCTAGCGAATTCGAAGGTTGATTTTGAATCAACTGATCATACCAGTCAGAATCGGGCTCGAAGGGTAAAAGTGGAGTGGCAGTATGGTCAAAATCAGATGCAGGAGGAAGTTCTTTCATTCCTAGGTATTCAAAGTTGGATTTTCCACGGTTTACTGGCCAAGGGGATCCTTTAGGATGGCTGAACAGATGTGACCACTTTTTTCAACACCAACAGACTCTAGATGAAGAAAAAGTTATCTTGCTTCTTTTCATTTAGAGGGTAATGCACAACTTTGGTTTCTTCAACTAAAGACAGATCTGCTTGAACCGTCTTGGGATGAGATCAAACGTTATTGTAACCTTCCTTTTGGGCCACCAATCAGAAGTCAGAAGTTAGGAGAATTGGCTAAGTTGCGCCAGATCGGGTTCGTGGCAGATTACCAAGAAAAATTTGAGCAATTAATTTAGCGTCCTGGTACACTCACACAATAAAAAAAATTGAACTTTATATCAGTGGTCTTGCTGATTATATAGCAATTGAGGTTGAGTTGCATAATCCTCCAGATTTGGCTACAGCGATGAGTTTAATCCGACTTTATGAACGCAAGGAACAATCTATTTGTTCGCAATCGTTAGATGCTTGCAAATCCAAAACAACAGATTTCTTACCTTAACATGCCAGATTTGTGAAGAAACTAACCAGACCTGAAATGGAGGAAAGGCGACTTAAGGGACTTTGTGTCAATTGTGATGAACCATTCACCCGAGGTCATCAATGCAAAAAATTATTCTGGATTGACTTTATGGACGATGAGGAAGAATTTGCTGGAAAGGAGGGAATACTAATTTCCGCACTTAGCGCTTGAGGACAAGCGCGATGTGAAGGAGGAGATTAATGTTATCACTCCTTAGTTATCCAATAGTTACTGTAGTAATTTCTCACTAGTAGCAGTTATTTTCCTGTAATACTGCAGTCTTTCTTTCCAGTTAAGTTAGGAAGTCATGTCCTAATTTCTAAGGGTAATTATTTTATAAGTATTGTATTTAAACTATCTGGTAACTTAGAAATATATAAGCAAAAAATTATTCAAGTCTTTGAGTACTTCAAACTCAAGAGATTGCAGGTTCTCTCTTAACGAACCAGCACCATAAGTCATAGGAAGAAAACATCAGATTTAATATTACAGTGCTGCATAACCAGATCCATAACCGGGGACCATAACAGATGGAGAGGAGAGTTTTCACAGGAAGAAAGAAATTGGATCTGATTTTAATTATGTATAGTTGATATATATAATTTTGCTATCTGAATTCCCATTACTCAAACAATCAACCAAAGGGAGAATATGTAATGATTTTTCTCTATATTTCACTGAAGCCCTGTTGATCTAGAAACTTGAACTTTCTTATGGCCTGCTTCATTCGATTGATGCATTTTTGTAGTGCCAATAGAAACTTACCTGGCAGTTAACATAAAAGTTTTGGCTGGCCCCTCCCTTAATCAATTTCCATAGATCGCCTCCTTGCTGATGCTTCCACCTGGTAGAACTACTATTACCCATCCAATTTCTGTCCCTTTACTATGAATACAAATGTAATGGTCCCCCAAAATGACTTGTTGGCCATTGGACTAGTTTCAACAACTTTGATAGTTCTTTTGATTATTGAGTACGTCTCTATTTATGTTCTTCTTTTGCCAATTTTAGTCTTGATTTTGTTCAGAAGTAAGAAAATAGTATAGCAACGCGAAAAGAGTACAACTCACAGGAGATCTTGTTGAAGAGCCCCACATCAGGCTCTTACAAGATGAGTATCTCTTTATATGGCTTGGGTAATCCTCACCTTTTAGCTAGCTTTTAGGGTTGAGTTGGGTCCAATGTCCATTTCTTTAACATGGTACTAGAGCTATAATGAGAAACATTCAGGACGGAGAAATCAGTCATTGTGCCTTCTTTCCAGTGACTTTCAGATCTGATTGCGTCACCTTTCTTTTTCTTCCAGCATTTTTCCAGAACTAACACCGCCAAAGGTCCAATAACTCTCAGCAGCCAAAGTCGTCACCGGCAGCAGGCCCCTCAAGCATGGCTAAATCTAAGGTTCCTGCGCGCGTCTGTCACATGCGCCAATGCGTGTGAGGTGTTCGACCAGATTCCAACAGCTGTGGTGTTCAGCTCAAGTTTCCAACCTGACTACCTCATTTCCAGCCACTTCTGACGGTGCCAGCAGCTTTAACCAATTCGGGCGACTAGATTTTCTGAGAAGTCTCGCCTGAAGCTGCTGCATACTCAATGCAGCTCCTTTTTTGCACTTTTTGGCAATCTGAGTTATATTTTGTGATCATTTGCTTAGACTCTCTTCAATCCAACCATGTCTGGTGGGCTATTTGGAGACAAAAAAGATGGTGGTCTATAGTACGTGCTTGTGTCTGGTGGGCTATTTGGAGAGAGAAATATTAGGTGTCATGAGAATATTACTAACACTATGCAGAAAGTCAAAGAAAATTGCATTAACATGTTGTTTTTTTGGTGTAAAGAAGAGGGTATAGAAGTAGTAGAACAGTTGGTAGATTTCCTAGGATCAATGTAATTATGGTTTTAGCTTGTAACTTTTTGGAGGTAGCCAAAATACCTTTAATACTGAAGATACAACTTTAACTTTATAAAAAAAATGCTATTTCAAGTTGTAGGAAGATGCGAAGGATGGTGGTAGATAAAAATATAAGAAAATGCAAAGGGCAGAGATGATTTTATGATTTTAGTACACAATATTAGAATAATGGGCATTAAACTACATTATATTAAATAAAAGGGTAATTTATACAAAATATTAGCCCATATACTTACCATTTTTTAAACCCAATTTTTAATAATTACTTGTGGTCACTTTAATTTCCAAAAAAATGGCCGCTTCTATTTTCTCTGTTGTGTCTTCTTCCATGTTCTTCATTTTCTTCTTCTTTTGCTGCTACTTTATCCTCCTCCTCCTCCTTCGTTCTTCTTCTCCTTTCTCCTTCTACTTCTCTTTTAAAGAAAGATCGACATACCGCAACATAAAACTTTTTGAGCGAATTATATATCAAAAAATCTGAAACAATGAGAGGATACTCATGTCTAAAGTTGGGACTGTTTAGAGGTGATTTCGAGTTGATCGAGATTGAATTAATCGGTGTATATTTCATGGATAGTCAGTGTATACTTTATGTATAGTTATACTATATTCGGCTTAATTAGTGTATCATATGTATAGTTAGTGTGTAGTTTATGTATATAGTTCATGTATAGATAAGCTATAGTGTATAGTCAGTGTACGTTTTCTAGGACTTTGGCTATTTTTATGTATATGAAACATGAATTTATTTGTAAATCAATTAGTTTATTGTAAATATTTGAAACTAATCCTAAATAAAATTCTTAAATTGGGCTGCTAGACAACAGGACAGATTTGAATCACACTATTTATTGACATGGATTTTGTATTGTAATATTAAATTAAAAAGATTGGCTTTGCTATTTTATCATCATGAATAACAAATACATTTCTTTTAACTGTATGTATGCAGGAACTTGTAGTAGCTGATGTGTGCTCTTCAAATGGCAATAAGTGCCGGGTACCATGCACAGTGACTCCAAATACAGATCTCCTTTCTGCTCTAACTATTATGGAGAAACATGGTTTGAGTCAGCTACCTGTTATACTAAGGCACGTGGAGGATGAAGGCATACATCCTGTGGGCATTTTGGACAGAGAGTGCATCAATGTAGCTTGCAGGTTCTTGATATTCAACTTTTCTTCAAAATATAATGCTTTCTGGAACCATTGACGATAAAATATGCAAGAAATTTGTGCAGTAGTCACACTTTACTATTGATGATAAAATATGCAAGAAAACTTGTGCAGAAGTCACACTTTACCATTGAATAAACTTTGCAAGAAACTTGTGCATAAGTCACACTTTACGATTGATTACCAGATAATCTATAATTAAGATGTCAAAAGTATTTGACAAAATTATCTCTTATATGCAAGTCCAAGAAGCGAACATACCTTTAACACACTTTGACCGGACACTAAGAAGAAAATCGCTAAAGTAGGGGTGAGAATTGGTTTGATAGGTAAATCACCTTTTATGCTTTAAAAGAGATGTGAATTTGAAGTCTTAAAGCTTGTGATAGTCATAAAAAATATTTATATTCTAAGTATGTCAAGCAGTCCATGCAAAAGTAGAAAATAACTTCACTTGTACTATAAAGAAAGGAAAACCTGTCATACTAGTTTGGGGTGGGTGGTGGTAGCATTCCACTCAGGTTTTTCATTTAGTTTTTCAATTAATGCAGGCAAAGCAGACGAAAGCCTTGATTAGAACTTAATTATCAGCAAACCTTAGTGGCTCTTGAAATAGAACATGAAGCCTTAAGCAAATATCATTGACAATGAGATGTTGACTTTTTAGGCAGTGGTATTTTGTTCGGCTTTTCAAGGACTAAGAAGAACTTAATATGATTAATTTTCTCCATTCCATCCTCTCTCTCTTGTATCATGATATCAGAGCCAATAAGAGTTTGGTAAGCCCTAATTAGCTTTTTTCGCTTGTCTACTTATTTTTTTTATTTTTTTTTTGTGTTTTGTGTCCTTTTAATATTCCATAACTTTTGATTGACTGTTCTGGAGGGCACCACTTCACTATTCTTATCATTTTTGCTGCAGTGTTACACCGCTATTATGGCCCATGTTTGTTCCACACCTTTTTTAAATTTCAGCCAGCTCCTTTTGTTTCGCCTTACAAAATCTTCTGGCTAACTCAAAACTAGTCCTCCTTTTCCGATCGTAACTTGTTCTCTATTTTCTCTTGATTTTGTTCTATTAACTCTATAGTTGACTACCATCAAAGGTATAGGATCTAATCAAGTAGATCTCATTAGTATGTTAGTTTCTGAGACTCCATTCAGTATTGAAGGTCTGTAATCTGGTCGAGCAAACTCTTAACAGATAGAGCAAGCGAAGTTATGGCCCCTACTGTGTATCAAAGGTTTGCAATCTGGTCAAGTAAAATTATTTACCAAGTGCCTGCAATCCTGTCTGTTTGCTGTCTATGTGATGCTTGAATGTGCCACCTCGGCAAGAGGAATAAAGAAACACACTTTGGTTTGCAGTCTTTATCTGTTTAGACACAACAACAAACCATGTGTAATCCCACAAGTGGGGTCTAGGGAGGATAGAATGTAAGCAGCCCTTATCTATTAAGACCCTCCATTGAAACAATTAAGAGCAAACAGAAAGTGGATCCCCTTTTATAAGGAGAAAAGCCTTCAGTAGAGCCATTAATGAGAATGGGAAACCTGACCTTGCAAAAACAATGAGAGGTTCATTTAATCCATTTCCTCCAAAAAATCATATCCCTTAGAACTTCAATGAGAAAATTCCATTTAACATTGTCTTGTGCTTTTCCAATATCCAGTTTACATAAAATTCTGTGTTTGTCCCCCACTCTAGTATCCACAGATTCTTTGGTAATCAAGTATGCATTCATTATCTGTCTTTCTCTAATAAATGTCATATGGTGCTTGTCAACTAGCTCGTCCACCACCTTTTTGAGTCTGTCAGTCAATAGCTTGGAGATAATCTTGTATACACACCCTATCAGACTAATAGGTCTGAAGTCTCAACTCCTTGGCTACATTATTTTTAGGAATCAACGCCACATATGCTGCATTTCAGGCTTTTTTAAACTGTTCCTGGGTGTGGTTTTCCACTGTCTTCATATTTTACTCTTTCAGAACATCCAAACATGAACGAAAGAAATCTGTTGTATACCTGGTGCTTTGTTAATTGCACATATTTTACATCTTGCTCCTTAAAGGTCATTTGATACCATGCCGCTGCCTCCTCTGTAATTCTAGGACAGTTCTGCAGTTAATCCGAGGCTCCAAGCTTCTGCATACAAGTTCTGATAAAAAGAAAGGATTTCTCTCTCCTAATATTCATAGGATCAGTTTCTATTTCTCCATTTGATCTCCAGATTGTCAATAATATTGGACCTCTTGAATAAGACTTTGATCCTAACTCAACCTCAAAAGTTAGCTAATGACTAATGAGGTTAGATTGCCTAAGATTACGGATGGCAGAATGGGTAATTTATATCGGTATCCCATAAAAATTACCCATCTTAAATGAGTTGGAACTCATTTAAAATGGGTAAGAAACCGGTCAAACTCATATTATCCATTTAAAAGTGGGTAGTTTAATGTGTAAAATGGGTTTAAAAAAAGATTTATTTATAAAAGAGAGAAAAATGACATCAATATTTTTTTTGAGGTGTAGGTGATCGGGGTAGGAGGTACGGATGGGTGGGATAAAGGAAGAAAATTAAATTTGATGATAGATTATGGAAGTTATGGGCTAAAGACTGTGGAAGGAGACAACCATGCAGATTCTCAACCACTATGACACACTTCATCTTTGAGTGATTTCTTGATGTTATTGAAATGTCTCTAGAAATATTGCCTCTCTTCTGAAAAAGCACGTGTTCCATTTGAAATTCCCCTTAACATTTTCCATATTTTCTTTCTTTGGGGAACAGAGCATTAGCAACTCGAGAACAGCTTAGCTGGTTCTCCACGAAGTAAAGGCTAATTGAAGGTTGCATAACCCGTTTGCAATAAGTTCTTCCTTGTCAAAGCATGCTGAGGGTTATTGTCTCTGAGTAATCCATCCTCGCTCTGTCTTACAACAGGGTTGAACAAGTAAGATAAACAATTGGATTTACAGTGATTTATCCAATAATTACTGCTATGCTGACTTCTTGTTCAAATTTTGGACTACCATCTCCAGTTCAATGGTAAATAATGAGAATGATGTTAGCACAGGCAGAGGAGACCGTACAACCAGGTAGCAGGATTTACTGCTGAAGCTGAAGGTTTGTTCTAGCTGCTTCTTAAATTAGGCACTGGAGGAGCGCACTGCGTAACTACACTGACTCGTCATCCAATTCCAATCATTCACTTCCGTGGTATGGAACTTGAACAGGATTGAGTTACACATGTCAAAATTAAGTCTACTCTGCTGTCATTGCCTGAATAATATTTCTTCATGCTGCTTTTGTCAACTGTTAATGACTTTTCAAACAACCCCATTCTCCACCATTGTTTCCCGAACTGCCCTTTCCTGATGTTTTGTCGTTGCTGCAATGTGCTTGTTCGTAATTAAGTCGTCATACTATTTCTCTGGCCCATGTTATACATGATATGATTTGAGTTGGTAGAATTTGACGAGGTATGACAAAGTATTTTGATAAAATTTTGATAATAATTGAAATACTATTGTTTTTAAGTGCTAAATATTGTGGAATAACCAAAAAAAACTGCAATACAAATTGAGATGAAGTTGTCTACTCGCAGATGGCACTTATCACAAATTTTTAGACTACACTTTTGTTCTCTGAAACTAGAATCGTCAATATGGCTAGGTCCGTTGGGTCGGCCTGAATTAACCCCTGATTTGATTGGGTTAAGTTACGATATTTGGAGCTCATTTAAGAAAAGGACATTTTAGTCTGGTCTAAATAAGCCGATAGATTTGTGGGGTTTGAGAAATATGAATAGGGCCAGATCGTGGTTTAAATAAAAATTAATTAAAAATAAAATAGAGTAATAAAAATGTAATAAAAATAACAACAGTCAATATTCAAATTTTTTTAAAGTTTGAAATATTACAATATAAATATAAGTTATGTTTATAAAAATTTATTTAATACATAAAATAAAAATTTACTAAAATTTTCAGGTTTCACTACATAGGTCACATAACCTATGGAATATTATCATATTTTTTGTGTTTTATTATGATCATTAGAAAACAATTAGGTTAATTTGTATTTTTACTTGAAATTAAACTTAATAAGTATGGAGTATAAAGATAATTTTATTTATGAATTTGATTAACAAGTAGGCATACTAACACCATGCAATATTATCTTGTCAATATTTATGATAATATTTTTAATTATAATTTAATTTTAAAAAATATATTTTTAAGAAAAGAGAATGTTGCCCACATATGTGTAGGCTGGGTCGATCATTTCCTAGCCCACACCGAAAACGGGATAGCACGATCTGACTCGATAAATTTCAAAGCATGTATGGATTAGCTCGAATGGGGCAGGTTAACCCATATTGACAGTTCTGTCTGAAATATACCACTTCTGGTAATAATTATTTTGCATAAAATAATAAAGGGAAAAAATTGATTAGCGCTTCTGAGGTGAAATTAGAATCTTAATGTTTCAGAATGGGTAATTACGACTTCCTTCATTTCAAGTTGTTAGTTCGTTTTAGAAAAAAAATGTGTTTCCTTTTTCAACTCTTTAATTTCAACGATCCGTTGGAGCATGTTCAAGACGAAAAGATTTAAAGAATATTTTAATAAATTTTTTGTTTCTTTGATTTAATTATGTACTTCCTTTGAATATATTTTTTCTATCAGTAACAGAAACTAAAAAAATAGAGGGATTGATCAACTGATTGCTAAATCAACAATATCAGAAAACTATCAAGTCTCATCTTTCTCTTTCTCCAATGCTTCTTTTTGTGACAAAAAAGGGCTCATAATGGATGGATCGTCTCAATCTATGACTTTAACTAAAGAAGACTATAATGACTATCTTCAATGTCAAACATCAAGGCAACAGTCAGCAACTGCTTGCACAATACACTGGTAACTCCTTTCATTATGTCGCATTGTCTTAGTCTCAAGATTAATGGATTCTTGATTCTGGTGCTTCTGGTAACAAAAAATTTTCTCTACTCTTACTACCCCTTCTACTCTCTTTTGTAACTTTGATGAATGAATCAAAGATGATTGTAAAAGTGATATGTATAGCTCATCCTCTGCCTTCCATACCTTCTAAATAAGTCTTTTTTACACCTAAATGTCCATATAATCTTGTTTTCATTATCAAATTAACAAAGAATTTGAAATGCGATGTAACCTTCTTTAATTATTCTGTTCTTGTGTAGGACCGAAGTACTGGACAGGTGATTGGAAAAGGATATATGTCACATCGTTTGTACCTACTCTCCATCCCAAAATCACATGTTGCTTTCACTTAGGTTGTTTCTTCTGAATTGCTCCATAGTCAATTGGGTCATCAAAGTCTCCTAAAATTGCAAAAAATGGTCCCATTTTATCTTTGTTAGAATGTGAGTCGTGCCAGTTTGGTAAGCACACTCGTTCTGCTTTCTCAAAATGCATCAATAATAAGGTCACCTATATGTTTGAAATCGTTCATTCGGATATATGGGGTCCAAGTCGTGTCAATCCTTCTTTAGGATTTCATTATTTTGTTACTTTTATTGATGACTATTCTCGGTGCACGTGGTTATTTTTAATAAAAAAAAATAGATCTGAGTTATTATCTATCTTTCAGAAACATTATGTTGTAATTCGCAATCAATTTGGCAATTTCATTAAGAAGTTAATCGGTGATAATGCCCAAGAATACTTCTTTACTTCTTTCTCTTCTTTTACGTCATCCCATGGCATATTGCATTTGTCTTCTTGTGCACATACTCCTCTACAAAATAAAGTTGTTGAGCGAAAGAACAGACATCTAATGGAACAACTCGAACATTGTTTGTTCACAATCATGTCCCTTTTACGTTTTTGGGGTGATGATGTTATTACTGCTTGCTAGTTAATCAATTGCATGCCTTCATCTATTTTGCAGTACTTGAATCCTCACTCAATCCTTTATCGGATAAAATTTTTATTTCCTTCTCCTCCACGTGTATTTGGTTGCACTTATTTTGTTCAAAACCTTACCCCGGAAAAAATAAACTTCATCACAAGGCTTTTAAATGTGTCTTTCTTGGGTATTCTCCTCTACAAAAAGGTTACAAAAGTTTTGATCCCTCTTCCAAATAAGTACTTTGATCTCTGCAGATGTTACTTTTTGAGACTTTTTCATATTTTTCTCCTAATACGAAAAATCAAAAGGCCATAGCAATCCTTCCCGCTCCAACTATTTCAACCCCCATCTCCACTTCCAACTCTTAAGGTTTGTTCCTGACGACCTCAACATCCTATTGAACTTGCTAATTCAATTGGTATTTCTAACTCAGATATAGGTGCACAAAGCAATCTTGGTGACTCATTACCTGCTCCAACAATGTCTTTTACTTCGGTCGAGCACTTATCTGATAATCTTTCTACTACTCTTGCAAAGGTACAAGTATGACTGTCAATCAAACTCCCGTTTATTCTTATTTAAGTTTCATTGTTTGTCACCTTCATATCATGCCTTCTTTATTAGCTTATCATCGGTTAAAGTTCTAAGACTGTGAGAAGCATTGGTTCATCCAGGTTGACGTCAAGCTATGATTGAAGAGATGATTGTTTTGCATGATAATGGTACTTGGGAGCTTGTTCCTTTACCTGAAGGCAAAATCACAATTAGTTGTCGTTGGATATTCATAGTTAAGGTAGGTTCGGATGGAGCTATTGATCGTCTCAAAGCAAGACTGGTTACTAAGGGACACACTCAGATTTATGGCATCGATTATGGAGATACTTTCTCACCAGTTGCCAAGATGACTTTTGTTCGTCTTCTCATCTCTATGGAAACAATGAATCATTGGCCCATTTGCTAAAGAGGTAGATATCAGGGGGAGTCTAGACTAGTTTGTAAACTTCGTCGATCCCTTTATGGTCTCAAGCAGCCTCCCAGAGCATGGTTTGGTTGATTTCGAGCTATTTTCCAACAATTTGGAATGATTCGAACATAAGAGAATCACTCTTATACTATAGGCATTCATCTAATGACAAACATATCTTTTAATTGTTTGTGTTGATGATATTGTTATTACAGGAGATGATTAGGAGGTATTGTTCAACTCAAACAACACTTCTCAAGTCACTTTCATACCAAGGATTTGGGCAAGTTGAAATACTTTCTGGGCATTGAAGTGGCACAATTTGTCCATGGTATTGCTATTTCTTAAAGGAAATATGTCTTACACATTTTGAAAGATGCTGGTAGGTTGGATTGCAAACATGTGGGCAGTCTAATATATCCACTACTAAGCTTATTCCAGGACTAGGAAAGCCTCTAAAAGATCATAGCAAATATCGGAGACTTGTTTTCAAACTCAACTATCTTATGATAACACGACCATACATCACACTTATTGTTAGTGTAGTTAGCTAATTTTCGCAAGCACCTCGTGATAGTCACTGGAATGCAGTGATTCACATGCCTCAATATATCAAAAGCTCTCCGGGACAAGGTTTATTGTATGAAGATAAGGGACACACCAACATTGTTAGATATTCTGATACAAATTAGGCAGGTTATTGTGTTCTAATTAGAGGCAATCTAATATCTTGGAAAAGTAAAAAGCAAGATGTCGTAGCTAGATTAAGCGCAAAAGCGGAGTATTAAGCTATGCCACTAGCTACATGTGAGGCTATATGGTTGAGACAACTTCTCCAAGAATTGAAGATATGAGGAGTTGAATCGATGACATTGATTTGTGATAACCAGGTTGCATTACATATCGCTTTCAATGCAGTGTTCCATGAAAGAACAAAGCACATTGAGATAAATTGTCACTTCATTCGAGAGAAGACTGAGTCTAGATATGTCACCACAAGTTTTGTCAACTTAAAAGATCAACTAGTACATATTTTTACACAATCACTCCAAGCATTTAAAATTGACGATATATGTGGCAATTTAGGAGCATATGACATGTACGCTTCAGCTTGACGGGGGTGTTATTATGGTATATTTGGATAGTATAGATATAAGAATATTTAAATAAGGTATGATTAGATAGACTAGATATGAGAATATTTTTCTAATCCTTTTAATTAAGTAGTTACGATATTATGTAATATTTTATTAGCTTCTTTCCTTACTTACATTATCTATAACAACTATTTAATACCATCAACATGAGGGAATGATCAATCTATTCAATTTTCAATATCTTTTCTTCTTCTATATTGGGGTCCCCAAAATTAAAATTGCTCAAGCACCAGATGCTAAGCACTGGGCGTGAATGGGGTGTTAAAGAATGACAAAAGTCTCACATCGGTAGTTAATGAGATGGGTGGAATCCTTATAAGGCTTGAACAGTCATCCTTTCTTTGAGCTAGTTTTTGGGGTGTGAGTTAGGCCTAAGACCTAATTTCACAACATCAATTTCTAAAAAATATTTTCAGTTACAAAATTTTATATTTTCACTCCGCCCTTCCCTCAACCCCGATCATCCCTCCACCCCCCTCCTAAAAAATTAAATTTGTTTTATTTTTAATTTCAAAATTTTATTTTTTCACC